GCCGCTCTTCCTTGCATCAGGTCCTCCACCGGTAGATCCCCTCCCCCCTCAGGGTCCTGCTCCGTCAGGTGTGTCCCAGGTAGACGCAATCGAGCCGGTCGAGGTAGATGTTGACTCTAGTGCTGCTAGAGGTGCTGACCCTGGGGGTGCGGAGTTTGGGGGTGCTGAGTCTTGGGGTGCTGAGCCTGGGGGTGCTGGGTCTGTGGGTGCGGAGCCCGGGGGTCCAGAGCCTGGAGGTGCAGAGCCTGGGGGTGCCGAGCCTGGGGGCGCTGGGTCTGCTCGTGTGGCCGCCGGCGGTGCTTCGTCGAGGCGGGAGCCACTCTCTCCATAAGAGCTGCGCGAGTGGTTTGCCCGCCGCTGGAGACGTGCTGCTGAGACTGGGGGTGCTGCTGGGAATACTGGAGTTGGTCCTGCTGGAGCTACTGCCGTTACTAGTGCTGATGAAGCTAGAGCTGCTGGGGGTGTTGGCGCTGGTATTTCTACTGGCGCTGGTGCGTGTGGGGGTGCTGCTGAGGCTGCTGGAGCTGTCGGTCCTACTGGAGTTGGTGCTGCTGGAGCTGGAGCTGCTGGGGGTGTTGGCGCTGGCAGTGCTGCTAGCGCTGGTGCTTCTGAGGGTGCTGGAGTTGGCGCTGTTGGAGCTGGAGGTGATGCTGGCGCTGGTACTGCCGCTGGGGGTACTGGTGCCGTCCTTGCTGGCTCTGGAGGCGCTGAGCGACCGAGGCCGTACTTCGTTCCGCTCCTGGAGCAGGTTCTTGGTCTGCCGCCCTCTTCTGGTCCTGCTCCTCCTTTAGAGTGTCCACAGCCTGTCCAGTCGCAGTCACAGTTACAGCCCGCCTCCCCTCTACCTGCTCCTTCTCCCTACACTGGTCCTAGTGGAGGTCTTGCTGAGCGTCGTGCGCCCGCGTCTCGTCCTGCGTCGCCGGTTCGTGCTGCTCACACTAGTGGTCGTACTGCGCGTCCGCGTCCTCCTGCGGTCCCAGGCACACACCACATGGCGCTGCGTCCTTCCACTGCTCCTCTGCGTGTCCCGTTGCCGTCTCCTCCAGAGTCCTCTCTTCCTGTCCTTGCTGACCCTGAGTCTGACTCTCTTCGTGCTGCCAGTCCTACTGTCACGCGTCTTCTGGCTACTGTTGTCACTGACCCTTCCTTTGAGTCCACTGCTGTGTCTGCCCTAGTTACTGAGCTTGTCGACTTTGCTGCTCGCTGTCATCTAGACTACGCTGCTAGTCTTGTTGCAGAGTCTTAGTTTGACTGTCCTCCGTCCGTCGGGGGTGAGTGTGCTCTTAGCACGGACGTCCTTGAGGACAGGCAGGAGGGGTTCCAATGCTTTGCTGCTGCTTTGCCTCATCTCGTGTCCACGCTGATTGCCCCTGAGGGAGACCCAGATGCACCAGACATCCCGACTCCTCGATCGTACGCTGAGGCGATCGAGGGTCCCTAATCCTCACAGTGGCAATCAACCATGGACGCAGAGATGGCTTCCTGGAAGTCCACAGGCACCTACGTCAACGAGGTTCCCCCACCTGGGGCGAACATCGTCAGTGGCATGTGGATTTTTAGGGTGAAGCGGCCGCCGGGTTCTCCGCTTGTCTTCAAGGCACGTTACGTGGCTCGAGGCTTCAGTCAGCGGCAGGGAGTTGAAAAACTTTCAGACCTTCTCTCCCACCCCGAAGATGACCACTCTTCGCCAGGCGCCCCGTCAGTGGCACGACACACTGAGGACTACACTTGCGGCTATTGGGTTTGCTCCTTCTACAGCCGACCCGTCGCTGTTTCTGCGCACTGACACCTCTTTGCCGCCGTTCTACATCCTCGTGTACGTCGACGACTTGGTCTTTGCCACTGCTGACACTGCTGGACTCGCCCACGTGAAGTCCGATCTGCAGAAGAGACACACGTGCAGAGACCTGGGTGAACTACGCAGCTACCTTGGCTTGCAGATCACGCGGGACAGAGCACAGCGCACCATTACCCTGACTTAGTTACACATGGTGCAGCAGGTCCTTCAGCGCTTTGGCTTCACGTACTCCTCGCCTCAGGCCACTCCTCTGTCTACTTGCCACTCGCTCTCAGCTCTGCCTTCGGATGAGTCCGTAGAGCCGAGTGGCCCGTACCCAGAGCTTGTTGGCTGCCTCATGTACCTGATGACCTGCACACGACCTGACCTTGCATACCCTCTTAGCATCTTGGCACGCTATGTTGCTCTTGGTAGACACCGACCAGAGCACATGGCTGCAGCGAAGAGGGTGTTGCGCTACTTGTGCAGTACGTCGGGCATGGGGCTAGTGCTTGGAGGGCGACGTCGAGTGGTCCTCACAGGTCACGCTGACGCTTCTTGGGCTGACGACCAGGCTACGCAGCGGTCGTCACAGGGTTACACCTTCAGTCTTGGCTCCGGCTCCGTTTCGTGGCGGTCTTCCCGCTCGTCTTCTGTTCTCAACTCCAGGTGTGAGGCTGAGATCTACTCAGGGGCCATGGCGGCACAGGAGCTACGCTGGCTCACCTACCTGCTGACTAACCTAGGAGAGCCGCCTCGTTCTCCTCCAGTTCTGTACGTAGACAACAAGGCCATGCTGGCCTTGTGTCGGGAGCACAGACTGGAGCACAGAACGAAGCACATTGCTCTCCGCTACTTCCTTGCTCGTGAGCTGCAGAAGCGTGGTCAGCTGCGCCTTGCTTACGTGGCCTCTCAGGCCAATACTGCTGATATCTTTACCAAGGCACTTCCGCCTGGTGATCATCAGCGCTTCTGTACTATGCTAGGTCTTGTGCCTACTTGGCCTCACTTGCTCACTTCTTGACCTTGCTTGTACTGTGATCTTTCTATACCTGCACTTGCTTGTTTACCTTTATTTATGATCTTGCATGTGAACTGGCCTTGTGGCCTTGCTCTTGTGGTCGGATTGTGTGGTGACGTTGTGATCCACCCTGAGCTTGCTTTGCTTTGCTTGACGGGTCTTGTGACCCCTTGTTCTCCCCACTTTGCCTATGGGGGTGTGTCAAACTTATATGCTATAGCATGTGTAGGCTATAGTGGGGTAGACAATATGGGGTACAACATTTCTAGGTTTTCCTACTTGTACCCACCTGCTTGCTAGTTCATTCATTCCTCATTTCTTCACACTGCAATGGTAGGGTGTACCTCGTTGGCAACTCGGAGCTGTCAATGAATCGATAGCTCCCTTCCCGACCACATTGCCGAGTAGGTGGCATTTGTACCGGGTGAGAGGTTGCCCCTACCACATTGCCGGGTAGGGCCTGAAACACTCATGCCGGGTTCGTGCCAATTCGAACCAAAATTGGTAAAAATATGTCAGTCAAAGTCACGATGTGTTGCGACCTAACAGGATTGGGCTGAAAAAAAAACTGAGAAATTTTGAAACACCTTCCAAGCACCTACACCGCAATTTAGCACCCAGATTCCCTACGGGCAGGGCTTTTTTCTGGATTTTCACTACTCGGATTTCCTGAGCTGTTTTCTAGAGAAAAGTATATCGGTCACAAATATACACTGGTCTCTTAGAGTAGCTAAAATCAGAACCCTGACAGATCAGAGAGAACTTATCCTCCAAAAAAATTACCCAGACACGTCAAAGTGACCCCCTAAAAACCACTCTGATTTTCAGAGAAACAGAGTAATTTACTCTGATAAAAAACCCCTGCCTACGGGCTAGGCGACCTATGACGAGAGTCAACGGTGCTATTCTACACGCATCTGATGCCGTCATCAAAACTTTCGGAGGCTAGGGTAATAATAGGGTTATTATATAGGCGGTCACAAAAAAGGGCTAGATATCACAAAATGTCTCTCGCGAACGGTCACAGAATCTAGAGAGCTATCACGGATGGTGACAAAATCTGTCATTTTATCACGACATGTGATTAAAATACTAGATATTATCTAAGAAGACAAGAAACACTGTCTCTAATCGTACTTGCAGTTCAATTATAATTATTCCGTGTTATATGGGCACGAACATAATCATGTCAATTTTGATACAAACGTTCACGAATTCAAGAAAATAACCAACATCCCAAAATTTAACCCCAAATCTTTACAGTGCGTCACGCGGGCTGGCGAAATGATTAAAGCGAGCAGGCAAAATAGTGACCCCGTTTTCTAGTTGGGTCCAGGTTGAAATGAGTGAAGTGGCGGGAAGGAGTGCGGGTGGATGGCCAGAATTTGCGCGCCAAAAAAAAGGAGATGTACCCCACGGTTGTGGGGAGCAAAAAAAAAGCAGGGTCCAGTTGATCGCATGTGCGGTTGGCGACAGCATTGTGAATGCATTAGCGAGCAAACCTTCTCCTCACCCAATCATGTGTAGGATATGCATCTTCTGATTGGACCGTCAAGGCAGAATGTTTCCGAGTAGCAGCACCTGCAACCCGCGACAGAAACACCCCAATTGAAACATTGCCTACAAAAGCCACGTGAGAAATGAGCAGCGCCCATCTCTAACACACCCTGCCTACCCCCTGACTAAATGTGCGGGACCAAAGCCGCTCGACACTGAGTACCATAGCTATAGTAGCACCTCCCGCGGCGATTAGTCGACGCTAGTGATGAGCCCGTTTAGGCACGGCGCAGCGCGCGATAGCCCGAGACCAGAACCGATCGAAATGTTGCATGCGCGGATGTTTGCAAGTGAATCCTGGCTGCCTGTTTCTTCCCGTGCACGTGACTGATTTAGTCGCGAAACTGCATTAATTCAACACCTCCTCGTCGCCCTCGCCTCGCGATTTCCCACGCGCTTCTCCTCGTCGCCCCCGCTTCGCGATTTCCCACGCGCTTCTATTCGTCGCCCCCGCCTCGCGATTTCCCACGCGCTTCACCTCGTCGCTCCCGCCTCGTCATTTCCCACGCGCTGGACCGCGTCGCCCCCGCCTCGCAATCTGTCCCACGCGCGGAACCTCGTCGCCCCCGCCTCGTCGTTTCCCACGCGCTTCTCCCCGTCGACCCCGCCTCTTCATTTTCTCGCGCGCGCAGCCTATACTCGCACATGAAGTCCGCCAATGATTCCCCCGGTAACACACCTCCAACCACCCGAATCGCCTCTTCCTCCCTCCATCTCTCCTGGGAACCCCCATCTCTACCCTCTCTTCCTCTCTCTCCATTCCTCACTACCTTGCTCTCTTCCCCATGTCCATCCGCGGTTATCATGCACCCCTCTCAGGAGAGAGGGGTAAGGACCGAGGGTTTGAGACAAAGGGACAAGGACTCAGGGAGGGAGACAGAGGGGGAAGGACAGATTGGGAGAGGCATAAGGGGAAGGACCGAGGGGGAGAGAAAGAAGGGGAAGGACAGAGGGGGAGAGACTGCAGGGGAAGGACAGATTGGTACGAACAGAGGGGGAGGGGCAGACAGGGAGAGAGAGAGGGGGAGAGCCTGTACTTCCCTCACTCCCTCCCCCAGTCCCCCTCACTTCTGGCATGACTGTTTACACCCCTCTTTATTCAGTCCCTCCCTTAAAACCTATTCTCCTGTCCCTCTCCGGCTTCCCCCCTCCCTCCTTCCTGCTTCCCCCCTCCCTCCTTCCTGCTTCCCCCCTCCCTCCTTCCTGCTTCCCCCCTCCCTCCTTCCTGCTTCCCCCCTCCCTCCTTCCTGCTTCCCCCCTCCCTCCTTCCTGCTTCCCCCCTCCCTCCTTCCTGCTTCCCCCCTCCCTCCTTCCTGCTTCCCCCCTCCCTCCTTCCTGCTTCCCCCCTCCCTCCTTCCTGCTTCCCCCCTCCCTCCTCCCTGCTTCCCCCCTCCCTCCTCCCTGCTTCCCCCCTCCCTCCGCTCTGCTTCCCCCCTCCCTCCTCCTCCCTGCTTCCCCTTCCCCCCTCCCTCCTCCCTGCTTCCGCCCTCCCTCCGCCCTGCTTCCCCCCTCCATCCCCCCTTACTTCCCCCCTCCCTCCGCTCTGCTTCCCCCCTCCCTCCGCCCTGCTTCCCCCCTCCCTCCCCCCTACATCCCCCCTCCCTCCGCCCTGCTTCCCCCCTCCCTCCTCCCTGCTTCCGCCATCCCTCCGCCCTGCTTCCCCCCTCCCTCTTCCCTGCTTCCGCCATCCCTCCGCCCTGCTTCCCCCCTCCTTCCTCCCTGCTTCCCCCCTCCCTATGCCCTGCTTCCCCGCTCCTTATGCCCTGCTTCCCCCCTCCTTCCTCCCTGCTTCCCCCCTCCCTATGCCCTGCTTCCCCCCTCCCTATGCCCTGCTTCCCCCCACCATCAGAGAGGTGAGCGCCACACGCCAGGTGAGCCTTCACCTTCTTCATATGCCCCTCTTCTCCCTCTATCTCACCTCTTTCCTGTCCCTCTCATGAACCCCTCATCTCTCGTGCATGCCCTGCTTCCCCCCTCCCTCCGCCATGCTTCCCCACTCCCTCCGCCCTGCTTCCCCCCTCCCTCCGCCCTGCTCCCCCCCTCCCTATGCCCTGCTTCCCCCCTCCCTCCGCCATGCTTCCCCACTCCCTCCGCCCTGCTTACTCCTCCCTCCGCCCTGCTCCCCCCCTCCCTATGCCCTGCTTCCCCCCTCCCTCCGCCATGCTTCCCCACTCCCTCCGCCCTGCTTCCCCCCTCCCTCTGCCCTGCTTCCCCCCTCCCTATGCCCTGCTTCCCCCCTCCCTCCGCCCTGCTTCCCCCCTCCCTATGCCATGCTTGCCCCCTCCCTATGCCCTGCTTCCCCACCCCCTCCGCCCTGCTTCTCCCCTCCCTATGCCCTGCTTCCCCGCTCCCTATGCCCTGCTTCCCCGCTCCCTATGCCCTGCTTCCCCCCTCCCTCTGCCCTGCTTCCCCCCTCCCTCCGCCCTGCTTCCCCCCTCCCTATGTCCTTCTTCCCCCCTCCCTCTGCCCTGCTTCCCCCCTCCCTCTGCCCTGCTTCCCCCCTCCGAGATGCGTCTATGTTATTCCTTACTCCCTCTCATCCACTCCCTTCCACTCTCCTCCACTCCCCTCCACTCCCCTCCACTCCCCTCCACCCCCCTCCACTCCCATCCACTCCCCTCCACTCCCCTCCACTCCCCTCCACTCCCCTCCACTCCCCTCCACTCCCCTCCACTCCCCTCCACTCCCCTCCACCCCCCTCCACTCCCATCCACTCCCCTCCACTCCCCTCCACTCCCCTCCACTCCCCTCCACTCCCCTCCACTCCCCTCCACTCCCCTCCACTCCCCTCCACTCCCATCCACTCCCCTCCACTCCCATCCACTCCCCTCCATCAGGCACCTTGGCGCGCTACACGGGTGGGCAGGTGTATCATTACGGCGGCTTCCTTCTGGTCAACGGAAAGGACAAAGCTGAGACATGCGTCTGCCTTCCTTCCATTCTTTCCTTCCTGCTTTCCCGTTTCCTGGTCCGCATTTCATCTTCCAGGCACCATGGCGCGCTACACAGGTGGGCAGGTGGGCAGTAAAGAGGGGGTTAGCGATTGGGACCAGCCGAGGAGCCAGATTGTGAGGAACTTGATGCAGGGGACAGCATGGAAATCCGTGACTGGAACGTTGCACACACGGCGCAGAAAAGACGGGCGTGTGCGGTATGGGGATTTGAAAAAGGGGGTGTTGGGGGCAGGGATTGATGGGCCGTTAGGTGTGGGAATTAGGTGGCCGGTCAGGTGAGTTTGGTGCTTATCCTTCTCGTCTGCCCGCGTTCCCTTTCCCTGCTCCTCTATCGTGCATGCCCTGCTTCCCCCGATCCCCTGCCCTGCTTCCCCCCATCCCCATCCCTGCTTCCCACCATCCCAATGCCTGCTTCCCCCCATCCCCTTCCCTGCATCCCCCCATCCCCTTCCCTGCTTGGGCCCCCCTCCATATTCTCAGGTGATATTTTCCCACAAGCCAGGTGAGCCCAGAATATGAGATGAGGGGATCGATGGGTCAGTAAGGTTAGTGAGAGGGATATGATAGCTGAAGGGCCTGCCAGTTCCCTGGAGCAAGCAATTGCTAATGCATTTGCAGTGCTGCCATTTTCCCGCCAAATTTCGTCCCCTACTGGTACCTCCCCTTGTATCTCCCCCTGCTCCCTCCCTATGTGCCCTCCTTACTCTCCCTCTCCATAGGTCTATCCTCTCCCTCTCCATAGGTCTATCCTCTCCCTGCTCATGTGCCCCTCCCCGACCCTGCTTTGCTTCTTCTTTGCCTCTTCCCCCATCCTGCTCCTGCTCCCCCCTTCCCACATCCTCCCTGCCAGGAGGACGACCTAGAAGCATCGCATCAGGAAACTGACAGCAAGGTGTGGATCATTCACTTCCCCAATCTTCACGCCCTCCCACTCTCATTCCTTCCCACCCTCATCTCTCTCATTCCATCCCACTCTCACTCTCAGTCCATCCCCCTCTCCCTCTCATTTCATCCCACTCACACCCTTTCATTCCATCTCTGTGTTGATGTCTGCAGTCTACTGCCCTGTGTCCACCCCAACACACAGGCCTGTCAGTGCTGCTGGAGCTGTATCTTTGGTCGCCTTTCACTGCAGAGAAGCACGTGTTGCCGCTGCCACTGCCGCAACGCACAACACATCGACAGGGTGGGGCTGTTGCTGGTGGGGCTGTTGGTAGTACTGTCAAAGGAGCAGCTAGTGAATCTCACCCTACAGTATCAATGTTTACAAAACCTTCAAATGTTGACTGTGCATTACTGATGCCTTGGGTTGTGCGTCCATGAAACAAATTGAAGAGGATATGGCCACTGTTTGGCAGCTGATCGGGTCACATCATTGTGTGAAACTAGCAAAGAACCTATGTGGAGAGAAGAGTTAACTCCTATTGATACATGCTGTTCGCAGACAAGCAGACGGAGAAAAGGGGCTAGAAGCCCCAAATATAATGGAGTAAAAAGATCTGATCTCAATGTCCATGGAGGATGAGCCGGGTGTATGACCCAAGGGCGGATAGTCTGGCGAGCCTGTGGTGTGGAAAATCATACAAAAACGGAAGCGAGTGGAGGGCGTCTTAGTATTGTTTACTTGTTGGGTGCAAAAAAAAAAACAAAAGCGCTTATACGTGGAGTAGGTACCATCATCATACCTACCAAGGGGATAGCCAGTGTGGAGTGATTAGTGGTATACCAACGGAAGCGAGTTGAGGGAGATACCGTAACAGGTTGGGGTTGAGATACCAAGGGGTTGAGTGGGGGCGGAGTGGTGTGTGTGACTAAGGTGGGTGGGGATGGAAAGGACCAAATGATTCGATGCTCATAGTCGGTGTGGGAAGGAGCGGAAAGACTGATCAGAGAGATAGGTGAGTGAGGGCAGGGGATCGAGGGAATAGGGATACTGCTTATGTAGGGCAAAAGCAGACTGGAGCAGCGGATGTACGAAAGTGGGAAGGTGTGAGTGTGGGTAAGTGTCCCTCGTGTGTTAATGATGGCACTGGATTGGTGGGTGAGTCGCAATAGCAGGGGGGAATGGGAAAGTGTGAGGGGTTTGGGGGTTGAGTGTGGGTGGCATTGCAAGGACAGCGGGGAGTGTGACCGTAGATCGCAGGAGGGGTGAAAGTATTTCAGCAGTGAGAGTCATAGCAGCGGGGTTGGGTGGAGGTGTGAGAAATGGGGAAATGGGGAGGGACAGGGGTAAGGGGATAAGGGGATTGTCAAGACGAGGGGAAATGCTGGGGGACTGGGGGAAGGGGAAACACGGAGTGGCAGGCGAAGGAAGAATTCGGGAGTGACAGGGACAAGGGGACTTGGGCTGGTACAGGAAGGGAACATGGGGAAGGTCAGAGAAAAGGGGAAACGGGGAGGGACAGGGGGAAGGGGATAAGGGGAGTGACAGGACAAGGGGAAATGCTGAGGGACTGGGGGAAGGGGAAAATGGAGTGACAGGGGGGAAGGGGACATGGGGAGTGACCGGGACAAGGGGACATGGGCTGGTACTGGAAGGGAACATGGGGAAGGTCAGCGAAAATGGGTGCCTGAGAGGGACAGGGGGAAGGGGATAAGGGGAGTGACAGGACAAGGGGAAATGCTGGGGGATTAGGGGAAGGGGAAACATGGAGTGACAGGGGACTGGGGATATGGGGAGTGACAGGGACAAGGGGACTTGGGCTGGTATTGGAAGGGAAAATGGGAGGGACAGAGGGTAGGAGAAATGGGGAGGGACAGGGGGAAGGGGATAAGCGGTGTGACAGGACAAGGGGAAATGGGGAAGGGACAGAGGGGAGGGGAAATGGGGAAGGGACAGAGGGAAGGGGAGATGGGGAAGGGACAGAGGGAAGGGGAAATGGGGAAGGGACAAAGGGAAGGGGAAATTGGGAAGGGACAGAGGGAAGGGGAAATGGGGAAGGGACAGAGGGAAGGGGAAATTGGGAGTGACAGGGGCAAGGGGAATTGAATTTGTACAGGAAGGGGAAATGGGGAGGTCAGAGAAAAGGGGAAATGGGGAGGTCAGAGAAAAGGGGAAATGGGGAGGTCAGAGAAAAGGGGAAATGGGGAGGTCAGAGAAAAGGGGAAATGGGGAGGTCAGAGAAAAGGGGAAATGGGGAGGTCAGAGAAAAGGGGAAATGGGGAGGTCAGAGAAAAGGGGAAATGGGGAGGTCAGAGAAAAGGGGAAATGGGGAGGTCAGAGAAAAGGGGAAATGGGGAGGTCAGAGAAAAGGGGAAATGGGGAGGTCAGAGAAAAGGGGAAATGGGGAGGTCAGAGAAAAGGGGAAATGGGGAGGTCAGAGAAAAGGGGAAATGGGGAGGTCAGAGAAAAGGGGAAATGGGGAGGTCAGAGAAAAGGGGAAATGGGGAGGTCAGAGAAAAGGGGAAATGGGGAGGTCAGAGAAAAGGGGAAATGGGGAGGTCAGAGAAAAGGGGAAATGGGGAGGTCAGAGAAAAGGGGAAATGGGGAGGTCAGAGAAAAGGGGAAATGGGGAGGTCAGAGGAAAGGGGAAATGGGGAGGTCAGAGGAAAGGGGAAATGGGGAGGTCAGAGAAAAGGGGAAATGGGGAGGTCAGAGAGAAGGGGAAATGGGGAGGTCAGAGAGAAGGGGAAATGGGGAGGTCAGAGAAAAGGGGAAATGGGGAGGTCAGAGAAAAGGGGAAATGGGGAGGTCAGAGAAAAGGGGAAATGGGGAGGTCAGAGAAAAGGGGAAATGGGGAGGTCAGAGAAAAGGGGAAATGGGGAGGTCAGAGAAAAGGGGAAATGGGGAGGGTGGGTTGGGCCGGGCTGCTGATGTCCCTTGGCACGGATGGCCTGGGGCACCCACATTGGGCATAGGGTGGTTGGCACATTAGGGAGGGCAAGCGAGGGTGTGTGCGAGGGCGACATTGCATGAGCCCCAATGCCGATCAACCCCTCTTTCAAGCATCGAAAGGGTGTGAAGAGGATGGGTGATGTGGGAAGGTTGTGAAGAGGAGCGTGATGGGTGTGACGGAATGAGCAAGGTAGGTGGGGGCGCACAGGTGAACACAAGGCACACACCAGGTACACAGAGGGAAGGGGTAACATGGAGTGTTGGGAGATGAAAATGGGGAGTGACAGAGAGAAGGATATGGGGAGGGACATAGGGAAGGGATATGGTGAGGGACAGAGGGGTGGGATATGTTGAGGGACGAGGGGTGGGATATGGGGAGGGACAGAGTGGTGAGATATGGGAGGGACAGAGGGGAGGGAGATGGGGAGGGACAGAGGGGAGGGAGATGGGGAGGGACAGAGGGGAGGGAGATGGGGAGGCACAGAGGGATGGGGAAATCCGGAAGGACAGATTGGGACGGACAGAGGGAAGTGGCGGGTGGAGGGACAGGGGGGATGTGAAATGGGAGGGACAGGTGGCAGGGGAAATGGGAGAGACAAAGGGAAGGGGAAATGGGAGTGAGAAAGAGGAGAGTAGATAGGAAAGGATAGAGGGCAGTGGAAATGGGGAGGGACAGTGGGAAGCGGTAATGGGAGTGACAGAGGGAAGTGGCAATGGGAAGGGACAGAGGGAAGGGGAATTGGGGAAGGAAAGAGGGAGGAGGAATGGGGAGGTTCAGAGGGAAGGGGTAACATGGAAAGTATGGGAAAGGGAAACAGGGAGTGACAGAGAGAAGGGGTAATGTGGAGGGACATAGAGGAGGGGCAATGGGAGTGACAGAGGGTAGGGGAAATGGGGAGGGACAGAGGGAAGGCAAAATGGGGAGGGACGGCGGTGTGTGTGGTGCAAAAGGGTGAGGGACAGAGGAACGGCAAAATGGAGAGGGATGGAGGGAAGGGAAAATGGGGAGGGAGTGAGGGATGGGGAAATGGGCCGGGATGGAAGGAAGGGAAAATGGGGAGGGTCGGAGGGGGGGCAAAATGAGGAGGGACGGAGGGACTAGTTACGAGGGGTGACTTTGGAAAAAAGGGAGTGAACAGGGACGGAGGGGTGAGGGAATGGGGCGTGACGCACGTAAGTGAAAGGGGGAGAGTCAGAGGGATTGGGAATTGGGGAGTGACTGAGAAACGGGGATATGGGGCGGGTTTAAGGGAAGGGGAAACACAGCGGTGACTCCGAAACGCGGAAATGGGGAGTGAATGGGAAACGGGGAATTGGGGAGGGACATGGGACACATGATATGAGGTGTGACGCGTGTAAGGGGGAGGGAAGGGGATATGAGGAGTCCCTGGGGAAAGAGGAATCGGGGAGGGGCGGAGGGAAGGGGAGTGACGGGAGTGGCTTGGAAATGGGGATATGGGGAGGGATTGGGGGTAGGGGAAATAGAGAGTAACGTTTTCCATGCGCAATGGGTAGGGGTAACAGCAGGGGAAGGGGAAACCGGCAGTGGAAGGGAAAACGGGAAGTGGGGCAAGGCAGCATCGTGCCTTGAAACGAGCCTTAGCGGCGCAGTGCAGAAATAGGCCGAACACGAGCAGGCACCACGCCTCCTGCCTTGCAATCCGTTTGAAAACGAGCAGGCGAGGCTCAGTGCGTTGCATTCCGTCTGATCGCGGGAAGCGCGAGGCACAGTGCGTTGCAATCGGTCTGCTCACAAATTGGCGAGGCACACTGCCTTGCAATCCGTCTGAAAGCGAGCAGGCGAGGCACCGTGACTTGCAATGCTTATGGTAGTGAGCAGGCAGCGACGTAGTGCATTGCAAGACGTCCCAAAACGAGCAGGCGCGGCGCAGTGCTTTGCCATCCGTCGACGGTTGTGGAGGCGCGGCGCAGGGCCATCCAATCCGTTTGAAAACGAGGATGGTCAGCGCAGTGCCGTGCAATCCGCGCTGTGCACGAGCAGGCGCGGCGCAATGCCTCATTCCGTCCCTGCACGAGCAGGCAACGCGCAGCGCATTGCATTCCGGTCCATCACGAGCATGCGCGTCGCAGCACGTCGCATTCCGTCCTAAAACGAGCATGCGCGGCGCTGCGCGTTGCATTCCGTCTCCAAAAGAGCATGCATGGCGGAGTGCCCTGCAGTCCGTCCTTAAGTGAGCACGCGCGGTACATTGCCTTGCAATATGTCTGGAAACATAGAGGCGCACTGATGCATTGCAATCGTGAAGTCAGCGAGTAGTGTGGCGAGACGCAACCCTAAAAATCCATCCTATATCACATTATAGCAGAAGCGCTTCCTAGCAAGGCGACTGAATCCGAGTAGCAGAGGCGCTGTGCCTTGCAGTCCGCACGAATGCATCCCATCGTAACCTGCGTTACCAAGTGAAATGTCGTCGTTTTTTCCTGGCTGACAAGGCGCGCGCGAGTAATAAGAGACTTACACAATGCCAAGCAGGCTTCGCGGTGCAGGTGCAAGTCTCAGCAGCCCTTCTAACCTTTCTTTTGCTATTCTGCGAATGCTCTGCAGTATCGAGCGCGGCCCTAGTGTTATGACAAGGTGGTGTGCAACCCAGGTCCAATTTGAAGCACTGGAGTGGGCCCGCTGGATTCAGTCGAGCTCGCTCCTGCCCTCAGCACTTTTTTCCTCCCTGTTCTTTCGCGCGAGTTCGTTTCATGTAATCAACTCCCCTCTCTGACGAAATTCGTATTCGTTTCCTGTCGCACATGATTGCCCCTGCTTTTGCTAGTAAGGAATTGGCGAATAGTCCCACCAATGTCCTTGTTCGCATTACAACCGGGACGTCGCTATCCAACCATATGGTGTCTTCAGCCACCCAACCCTTGACACACAAAGTTTCCGTGAATAGTGATCCCGTTCGTGTCGAGCTTGGCCACCCTCCCGAAACAGTGCCGCAAATTCAAGCTGGGCCTCCCTTCACTATTTTACCTGCTCGCTTTAAAGCCCGAGTATCACATGGCTGGATACCAAGTTTCCTGAACATGAAACAGGGTTAGCGAGAGGGAGCAAAAACCTTTTTTCGTAGAACCAACCCTGGCGACGCACTCTCAGAGTCGCGAAATCAATCATCACCTCGCCACACTCAGATTGGCCTGCTTCCCCCAGAGATGACCACCATTGCACGAAAATACTGTGTGCGACCATTCTGTCGCCTCGAATGGTGCAAAAGCGCAGCCAATCAGCACCACCGATAAAAAATACTCGCATCGCATCCAAACAGCGAGGGGGTATAGATGGAATAAGGGGGTTACAGTCCGGTGAAGTGTGTCAAACTTATATGCTATATTCTGTGTAGGCTGTAGTGGGGTAGATAATATGGGGTACAACACTTTTAGGTTTTCCTACTTGTACCCACCTGTTTCCTAGTGCTTTCATTCCTCATTTCTTCACATGGTATAGAGCAGGTTCCCTAGTGGGAACGCTTCATAGGGCCCACTACTGAAAATCGATTTTTTTTTTTTTTTTTCTGACCGGAGCGCGAGTCGCCCCTGCCCGAGGCGCGCCCCGTGGGCCGCCCTCTCGTCGCGTCCCCTGCCTTAGCGGCCCGTCGCGCCCTCCTATAGGCCCCTCTCACGGACCCTCGCGCCACCCCTAGCGGCCCCGTCGCCACCCTTCGCAGCCCGTCGCCGACCCTCGCGGCCCCGTCGCCACCCTTCGCGGCCCCGTCGCCGCCCCTAGCGGCCCCGTCGCCGCCCCTCGCGGCTCCGTTTCCGCCCCTCGCGGCCCCGTCGCCGCCCGTTACGGCCACGTCGCCGCCCTTCGCGGCCCCGTCGCCGCCCCTAGCGGCTCCGTCGCCGCCCCTCGTGGCCCCGTCGCCGCCCCTCGCGGCCCCGTCGCCGCCCTTCGCGGCCCCGTCGCCGCCCGGTGCGGCCCCGTCGCCGCCCTTCGCGGCCCCGTCGCCGCCCGTTGCGGCCCCGTCCCCGCTCTTCTCGGCCCCTCGTGGCCCCTTCGTGGCCCCGTCGCCGCCCTACGCGGCCCCTCCCCGGTCCCAGCAACAGCAGCGGCCACCTCTACCGCTGCAGCCACCGCCGCTGCCGACTGCAGCCGCCTCTGCTGCCGACCACCGCCGCCGTTGCCGCCGTCTCTGCCGCTCCCGAAGCCGCAGCCGCCGCCGCCGCCGCCGCAGCCGAGACAGCAGCCGCCGCAGCCGCCACAATCGCTGTCGCCGCCGCCGCCGCCACTGTTCCGGTCCTGTCCCTACAGGCGCGCCTCGGCCCTGCCTCACCACCTGCGGGCCTCTACCTACCAGCCCTGGTAAGAGCACTCCTGAGCAGCGCCTCTACCACCGCCCTGCTCTTACTGCTTGCCTGCTGCTGCCACTGCTGCCATGGCTGCTCCTAATGTTCTCACTTTTGATGCTGAGGGTCGGGCTGTCGACTTTGAGGTCTGGGTCGATGACCTACAGCTTTTCCTACAGTGCGATAGGACAGATGGTCTCTCCCTGTTCGATCTCACGTCTAGCGCCTCTCCTGCCCCTCCTGCCGATGCTGACAGCACTGTTCGCTCACAGTGGGCCACACGTGATGCTGCTGCCCGTCTTGCTGTTCGTAGTCACTTGCCGTCCTCTGAGCGCGCGCACTTTGGTCAGTATAAGAGCGCTAAGACCCTGTACGACACTGTAGTTGCACGCTACTCTTCCCCTGCCACTGCTGCTCTTAGTCGCCTCATGCTGCCATACCTGTTCCCTGACCTCGCCGCCTTTTCCACGGTCGCTGACCTAGTTACGCACCTTCGCACTAGTGACACCCGCTACCGCGCTGCGCTTCCTGCTGAGTTCTGCGCCAAGAACCCCCCCCCCCCATGTACATCACCCTCTACTACATAGTCACCCGGCTCCCTGACTCCCTTCGCTCAGTCAGGGACCACTTCCTCTCTGTTTGCCCCACCACACTCACCGTTGACCTCCTCGAGGAGCGCCTCCTGGCAGCTGAGAAGAGCATAGTCGCTGTAGGAGCCTCTCGTGGTGACCCTCATACTCCCTTCTTTGAGGGGTGTTCCCCCTCCCCCCTCCTGCCCTCTGTTGCCTCTGCTGCTGCGGCCGACCTCGTTGGCCTCGAGTCGGTAGGAGCTGCGTCTGCCCCTGGCGGGAGACGCCGCACCGGCAAGGGCAAAGGGGGCAAGGGTGCTGGAGGAGCTGGCGGGGGCGGTGGAGGTGGCGGTGGAGGCGGTGGAGGGGGTGGGGGTGGTGGTGGGAGTGGTGGCGGGGGTGGGGGCGTCGGTGGCGGCAGTGGAGGCGGAGGAGGCGGCGGCGGTGGTGGTGGGAGCGGAGGAGGCGGCGGTGGAGGTGGGACTGGTCAGGGCGGCTCTGCGCAGAGGGGCGGCTCCGGTGGTGGTCAGCGCCAGCAGCAGCAGCGCACTTGTGAGACCCCGTCCCCCCAGCAGCTTCGTGAGTGGTACCCTTCGCGTCAGCGGGGTGGGGGTGCTGGTCCCTGTACCTACGTCCTGCGTACCGGCGACCGTACGGGTGAGTAGTGCTGGGGCCCGCACCCCACCCAGCGCTGCTTCGGCCGCCTGACGGACGCCTGGCGTCTCCATTTCCCTGACGCCACTGATATCTCTCGCTGGGGAGAGCTGCAGAGGTCGGGGGTTGCTATCTTTGATCTTGATTATGATGCTATTCTTGCTGCCATGTATGCTGTGTCTGCTAGTGATGAGGGTGACTATTACTTGTGTGTTCCGCCTGACCCGGGCATTGAGACTGCTGCTCTAGGTGCTGGTGAGGCTGCTGCTCTAGGTGCTGGTGAGGCTGCTGCTTTAGGTGTTAGTGAGACTGGTGCCCCAGGTGCTGGTGAGTCTGCTCTCTCAGGTACCACGTAGGCTCAGGCCTTGCACACCTTCACCCTTGACTCGAGTGCTTCCCGCTCCTTCTTTCGAGACCGCACCAGACTCACGCGGCTTAGTCGGCCAGTTGCAGTCTCCCTGGCAGACCCCTCTGGGGGTCCTGTCCTTGCCCACTTCTCCACTGTCTTACCGTGTCCGGCGGCCCCTTCTGGCACCCTGTCAGGTCTCTACCTCCCCTCGTTCTCTACGAACTTGGTGAGTGGTGCTGACCTACAGGATGGGGGGGTTGACCCGTTCACTCATGCGAGTCAGCGAGTCACCCACTGCACGAGTGCTCGGATGGGCCGACACTTGGCCACGTTTACCCGTCGACCGGGGTCGAGCCTGTACACAGTGACCTACTGAGTCTCCTCCGGTCTATTCTTCTGGTCAGGTAGCTGCGTCGGGTCAGGTGTCTGCTACGGCGTCCAGGTCTGGTCCTGCGTCTGCCCCCTGCTCGTGTCGTCTCCTGTCTCACCAGACTCTCCTCTGGCACCACCGCCTTGGTCACCCCTCGCTGCCTCATCTCTGAGGCATGGCCTCCCGTGTCCTTGTCTCTGGTCTCCCCCGGTCCCTCCCTCCTCTTCCTCCGGGGCCTGCCCCTACCTGCGTTCCCTGCGTCGAGGGGAGGCAGCGTGCTGCTCCTCACTCCTCCGAGTTTCCTCCGACAGAGGCTCCGCTGCAGACGCTTCACATGGACGTGTGGGGCCCAGCCCGCGTCCGTGGACAGGGTCACGAGCGTTACTTCCTGCTGGTGGTTGACGACTACTCGCGTTACACCACAGTCTTCCCCTTGCGCAGTAAGGGTGAGGTCACTGAGGT